ATCATTTTATCATCATATTAGGATTCAGTAGATCCCAGTGTGCGTGTAATTTCGATCTATTGTGATTAATGGAGGATGATTAATGATAGTATTTGGATTATATACCGTATCATAACCATGCCTGTGACAGTTCAGTTAGAATATTATAGCATTTTTTGAATGAGGGTTTTCTCAAAGGGAAAATAAATACTTATCGTTGGATGGTATACCATATTTTAAGAATATGTAGTATTGACAACATAAAATGTTTTACCATACGTTACCGATAAGAGCGTACAGTAAAAGTATAAATGAATGATAACTCAAGAAGTAACGGCACGACTTAAATCATTTCTATAGTATGAACCACTTCATAAATAGTTTTTGATTATGCGGGTTCCGTTCGCTCTGTGTCGTCATGCATAAGATATACGGATTTGAGTTGTTAACAAAATTTGTAGTTAATAACAAAACCTACAAAAACTCCATGCATTATTTTGCGGAAATCTGTTGATGAAGAAAGTTAGGGGCAAATGAATGTAAATGAATGCACGAAATGAATGTAAATGATTTTCCATGCCTGGCTGCCCAAGTAACCAATAAGCCCGCTTATTCGCCTTTTTGCAATATAAGGCTAATATGCGGCTAATATAAAGCTTAGTATGCCCTATGTTAGCCTTGTATCAGCCTTATATTGCAAAAAGGCGAATTAGCGGTTGTTGGTTACTTGGGTGTTACGCCCTAATTCCAGCTCTATGTGGAATTGTTGATTTTAAAATTTAACGACACCTAGCTATGATTTCAAAATTTAGCATAAAGCACCTTCCAATAGCTGTCAAATTTACTTTTGAAAATATTCCTCAAAACTTACTTTTCGTTTTCTTTTCAGCTGCGTACCGATTCCTTTTGAACTGCGTACTGGGTCAAGAAATGCTAAAGAAAAGTAATTTCTTTAGTATTCCGTGTCCTATCCCGTAGCACGTAGAAACGTCATTACTTCATTTCTTGACCCAGTATGCAGTTCAGAAGAAAGCGGTAAAAAAAACATCGCAACTATCACCTTTCCGAAAGTTGGTTTGCATGGGCGTACTTTGGTCTTAGAAAGTTTGTCTACAAATGCTTTTGTGCCGTTATCAAATGTTATGCCTGACCTGTTGTCTCTATATTGATGAATCTATGTTACGGTCGGCCAGCAGATGGAAATGATGTGAAAATGATAATAACGTTTTGCTAGCTGTCAAATCGTATGGAATACTTTTTAGTACATCATCACTTTTGTGGTTTTAGATTTCAAACCTAGGTGTCGCATGCACTGGTGCAGTTTCGCCACAGAGAACAGACGTTCAAGCTCGGTCAGAAACTTGTGTAAAATAAGTGGGAACGTCGCCGTTACGTGGTGTTAGCATAGAGGTAACTCTAAGACTAGAAGGTCCCGAAATAACGTGCTCAACTTTTTGGCTCAGCTCTGGTACTCTCTTCGGTCCCAAGCTAATCGATTCACCCCTCGAAACATAGAAAAATCCACTAACCCCTCATTTTATCTGTCAAAACTTTCATAGCGAATCAAAACAAACATTGCGTAGTACTAGAATTTCGACTAGAATGGGCTACGTTAATCGTTTGCTTGGGACCAATAGGCTAGTCAAGTAGTGAGCCAATTTAAAATCGTTAGTTTCGTATTGATTGTTGGTGTTAGCACAGACAAACAGACATAACACATTGAATATTTCTCACTGTAAAACATCGTCGCTAAAACATTACCGCCATCTGTTGAGTACACTGTGGTGGGTAGTACGCTGAACAGATGGCGGTAGAGTGTAAATGTCAAACTCAAGGGAAATGACTATGCGCGCCACAGGTGGCGGTACTACCAACTACGATACTTTTAAATTGACCGTTAAATGCTTGTTCGATGAACAACTTGCGAGTGTTATGTCTGTTTGTCTGTGGTGTTAGCATCTCCTGATTTTCTCTATAAATTTTCCACTTTCGACCAATTTGGCGCTAGTATCGATAAATTTTCTGTTGAAAATTGCCACTTGGCGCTACTAGCATAGAGGTAACTCTAAGACTAGTAGGTCCCGAAGAAAATCATTATTATTTTTGGCTCACTCAGTACCAGAACAACGGTCCCAAGCAGTCCCAAGCTATTTCACTCACCCCTGCATGTTCTGCATAAATCCACACACCCCTGATGTTATCTGTCAAACTTTCATAGCGAATCAAAACAAACATAGTGTAGTAATAGAATTTCAACTAGAATAGGGTACGTTAATCGTTTGCTTGGGACCAATAGGCTACTAAAGTGGTGAGCCAATTTAAAATCGTTAGTTTCGTATTGATTGTTGCTACTAGCACTTAGTGTCTAGTGTAATTTGTGCAACGCCAGCGCCATCATGTTGTCAAGGAGGGTTTTTAAGTGGGGAAGTCACCGTTAGTGGCGCTTAAGTCGAATAGGAATCTTTACACAAGTTTTTAGAGAAATTTTGTTCGAGCCTCCATGTCTGTTCTCTGTGCATAGAGGTAACTCTAAGACCAGAAGGTCCCGAAGATAAGTGCTCAACTTTTTGGCTCAGCTCTGGTACTATCTTCGGTCCCAAGCTAATCGATTCACCCCTTGAAACATAGGAAAAACCAATAATCCCTCATTTTATCTGTCAAACTTTCATAGCAAATCAAAACAAACATAGTGTAGTACTAGAATTTCGACTAGAATGGGATACGTTAATCGTTTGCTTGGGACCAATAGGGTAGTCAAGCAGTGAGCCAATTTAAAATCGTTACTTTCGAATTGATTGTTGCTCACACAAAGAAAAGTCGTTTATAAAATTAAAAAAACCATTGGTAGATTTAAAAGTTTACATTGGTTCTTTTTGGTAGAAAGCGGCTAGCTTTCAAAATAAAAGTCAACCAACCGTCAATTCAAAAGTTGTCCGCTCGATACTTTTAAAAGTTCAAACTTTCAAAATGAATTGTAGAACTGTCAAATGAAAAATGTATTAGTCCTGAAATTAATGGAGGATTATTTTTGACTTGAAAATGTGGCATAGTTAAAATTAAATGGGCCTTTTGAATTTAAATTAAAATAATTAAAAAAAAAATATTTTGGTTTTTATTTTAGTGGATAAGTATTAAATATTCTTTATTATTATTTTTCAATAAGATAATAAGATCCAACAATATTTTTTTACATTGTTATTGTTATCTTTGTTGATGTTTACGTTATTGCGTCTTGGAGTTATTCTTGCTTTGAGTAAACCTGCTACAGTAACAGGTACATGGTGATGTCACAGATGCAGGGTTGAGGACAGAAGACAACCTCGAACATTGTTAGCAGCGTGATTGTATACCGGTGGAGATTTAACGGCAGCGGATAGCGGAAGGAAGGTGTCGATTAGATCGTTTTCGGTGAGGGTTTCTGTGGAATATTAAATATATTGTTATATACCTTTAACATCTACAGTTGTAGTAGTCGTCGAACACTCACTTGCATTCCGAGCCATCTTGTCCGCTCGCAGATGAATATTGTTTCGTTTTATCTGGAATTAATAAAAATCTCTAATTAAACTCTACTATTGTTATTTGATCGCTTACCTGATGCGATTATTATTTTTCACGGAGGAAAATTGTCATTCCCAAATTTTCCTCGCTCTTCGTGACACTTCTGACGTCAAGCCAAATTAAGCGGCAAACCGAGGTCCAGTGCTGCCAAAAACTTTTCCTAGAAAATGTATTTTTGACAGTTGAACAACTTTCATTTTAAAAAAATGCACTTTTAAAATTACAAGTCGAACCTGAAAGAAACACTTTCAAACCAAAAAAATAATTTTTATTTTGAATATTTTCGTTGTTAAAATGACGAAATTTACTAAACTTTTAATTTGAAATGGCATTATTTTTATTAAAACAATTTTTGTTTTTTGTGTGTAGTAGCTTATTGAACGATAGTCATGAGAAAGTCGAATCTCTCGTTCCGTTTTTGACAACAACAAAAAGTGAGAGTGGGATGCAAAACTCAAAATTACCCAAAATTAAGTAAAAACAACTTAAATTTATGGCCCGGAGATGAACCAGCCTGCGGCTAAAAATCTCCTTAATAAAGAAAAGAAAAAAAAAACTTAAATTTAGGGTAATTTTTTTCTATATGTTAAGGCCCAAACGCAATATGGGCGGAAGCGGAACGGAAACGGAAAGTTTGACAGTTGCCACAAATGACATCAAGATGCCTAACCAAAGTCAATTTGGGTCTAACTAGTTTTCAATCCGACAAGTTAGCTTACTCAGATCGAGCTTTTCCGCTGCCGCTGCCGTTCCGCTTCCGCTGTCATTGCGCTTGGGCCTTTAGTCTACACTGATAAAATTCCAAAATTTGTTTTTATGTGTCCCACACACGATTTTTTGCAATGTAATCAACAAATCAGTGCCAACATTTCAAAGGGGCGTAATTGCTTTTGGAAACAATGACTTTAGCCGTCGATTTCTCGCAAATAAAAGCTCACTCTTTCAAATTAACAATGCTAGCTGGAAGAGGAAACATTCCTCTACCTGTTGGTGCAATTAATTTTCAAGAGGGAGCTTTTATTTGCGAGAAATCAACTGCTAAAGCCCTGTGTTTACAAATGCAATTACGCCCCTTTGAAATGTTGGCACTGAAATGATATTCATGTGTCGGACACATACTTAATATGTGTACACATTTGACTCATAAATTTCATGTGTTATTCTGGGTGGATTCTGGTTATGTGTGGTCACATGAAAATAATGTGGAATTTCACATGGAAATTCGTCAATAAAAATGTGTGGAATTTTATTTGTGTAGAATCACCTTCGAGCGGTTCATTCAAATCAAAAGTCAAATGACATCTGTATCAACCATATGCCAGCATTTCTGAGACGCGCGCACATCCATGCCAAAACCACACGTCATTTGACATTGCATCTGCTGTCAGACGCGGAGTTCACTCTCTTTCTCTTTCTCTCGCGCTCTCGGATTCCTTTCTGTCAAAATCGAAGAGTGCTCTTGTGTGCTAAGGTGAAAAAGCGAAGAACGACCGTCTACTTTTTCGAAGCCTCGCTGCTGTCCCGAAGTCAGTGGAGCAATCCCAGAGTCCAAATAAAATTCGATACGATGGCGTCCCTCTGTGGAAGATTAGTGCTGAACGCTGCCCGCCGCAATGTGACCTACACTCCAGTGCGTTTCTGCAAAAGTAAGTAGGTTAGCTCGCCAAATGGCCGGATGCCGTCTTTCCAGAGAAAGAACGGGCACACACACTCGTGGTTGCACAACCATTTTTTCACCGTCGATGTGACAGGGAGAGGATTTTTATTTTGCACCGCTTACGTAATGGCATATTTCGGGGGCGGTATTTTCATCCCTTCGGGTCCGTTCCCGAACGGAACTTCCGTAATCGAATGGTTCATCGTTGTGTCCCCTAAGCGGTTCGGCATGCAGACCGGCAGCGATCTCGCGAATGATGATTAATGGAGAGGCAACCCCTCGCAGTGGAACGGCGACGACAATGATCAGATGATCGGGGCGGAACAGCGAATTCTAATGTTTTGGTTTTGGTTTTTCCCCGTTTTGCTTCCAGTGATGAACGACCCGGTCGAGCACGCCACCGGCCTGGAGAAACGCGAACTGCTGGCCAGACAGGCCGGCGATAGCGATCCCTTCGATATGCGCGTGTTCAAGCGCGGCCCGGGCACCAAGGAAAGCCCGAACATGATTCCATCGGCTTTCGAGTCGCGTCTGGTTGGATGCGTCTGTAAGTATCTATTGATTTTGTGTTTTTTTTTTATGTCTGGATTGGTTTAGAAGATTTATTGAAGGTATTCTAAAGATGTTAAAATTAAAGTACGGGATTTATTGATGGGAAAAATGGTTAAGTTTGTTTACATAATAGAATCAGACAATTTTTGGTCGTGCTTCCAGGGGCTCTAACCAAGTGCAGTTCATCAACTATGTAGTCAGCATAAAATAGATTATCGATTTGACTACAGATACAAATTTCAATAACTTATGGAACTTTCACGCTGCATAGTTAAGATTTACTGCATTTATCAATGTATCAGCCATGAGCAATTGACAATGATAAACGAATGATGTCATCAAATCAATAGGTTTATCAGTTAAGCCTATGCGATGTAATTAAGTTCGGTGCTCGTACATGACAAGAAAGTGTCTGAATTACCAAACAGGAAAATGAGGGAACTTAAAAATCGAACTCTGGTTACAAAATTAGTTACAAGATCCGCCTTGCGATTCCTGCGTCAGTTGTTCCAGCTATTGCAAAGGCGGAGAGGGTTTCTGCAACCAGTGCAATTGAAACAGAGTTTTTTTTTCATGATTATAGCCAGTGTTGATTGCCCGTCATGAAAATCATTAGAATTTGTTGTTATCTTTGTTCGTAGTTAAATATAAAACAATGCTTCTTTCTCTATGGGTTTATCAATTGTTTACTAACCATTAGAGCACGTTTAGTTTAAAAAATACCATCACTGAGGTTCTAGGAGCTGCTTGGAACTACGAATTTTAATAAACAGAAACCCCATACAAACGATAACCCAAATTATAAAATTATTCCACAAACCTTTAATCAATTTTTAATAGTACTTTTTTGTAAGCGAAATTTCTGGAATTTAAAAAGTTGTTTAATTTCTGAAACCACCGATTCACTTCGATCTACCGCGGTTTTGAAAATAACTGGGCTCCGAGTGTTCTTGCAATCCATCACAACTTTTGAGCAGCTTAAAATGGCGTTTCCTCAACAGCCGTTGAAACTTAACTCATTTTCATAAAAAGGGCGGCTACTCAGCTGTGAGTAAACGGTTTGTAGCCTGGTATAACTAGCAATGACAAAATTGTGCTGAACTTGAATGCGTTTGTTTGGCGACACCTCGCTATGATCTCAAAATTTAGCAAAAGACTCCTCCCTATAGCTATCAAATTTTCATTTGGAAATAATCCACAAAAATTAATTGTAGCGTTTAAAGTCTAACATAAGTTCATAGGTGAACAATGCAACAGTTAATAAAACATCCGAGCAAACAACTCCAAAAAATACTCAGCATAAAATAAAAAAGGTCCGTCAAAATAGCCTGATTAAATCAATTTTGAATAACACCGAAAAGACAAGATATAATAATTTTAAAAACGCTAAAACAGCCCAAAACTGAACGTCAAATTCCTTAATAAGCATCAAAAGCCAATTTATTTAAGGATATTTTAATGAACACAGATTTCGATAATAGCCATTTGACGTTTTGAGGTAATTTTTTATTAATTTAATGTTACTTTGGAGCTTTTGTCGTATAAAAAGCAGGCCTGGGTTCAATCCCAGTCGGCGTCGCCGGGATGTTCTGAGGAATAACATCTCTGATCACGCCGGAAGTAAATCCGTTGGTCCCCGGTTCATGAGTTGATGGGTCGATAAGTAGGGTCCAGGTGTGGGAGCTGCCTCCCTGGCGTCGGTAGCATTGGTGCTCAGCACGGAAAACAAGACCGACGGAAAACAAATCAAGGGAAAAAAACAAGCATTCCCGCCTCCTGGATGCAGCACTACTTTGTCATACTTCACGTTGCTTCGTCACATCTCCCTTAAATCGGTAATTCGACATCCCCGTAGAGTAAAGGCTTTAATGCTCCTGATCATGTATTCATCGTTTTTGTGGCATATGACGGTAATAGGTTCAGTATTACAAAGTAGTGTTGTACCCCATATTGTAAAATAATGGCAGTCTACTAACCCCGATCTGGTGATCGACATTCAAGTGACTTGAAAACTAATACAAAAAGTTGTACAACTTAATGTTCGTTATTCCGCAGCTTAACTGACTTGAACGCCGAATTGAATCATCTAAACCGGTCTTAACAAGTTTCATTTCCCCATCTTTACAGGTGAGGAGGATCAGACCTACATTCAGTGGATGTGGCTGCACCAGGTGAGTGATCTCCGATCCACGTTGGCCAACTTCCGCCTCTATTTCTTGTTCTATTTTGTTTTTCTTCTTCCCAATTTCGCCCATGCAGGGACACCCCAAGCGTTGCGAATGTGGTCACTGGTTCAAGCTGGTCGAGAAGGCCGCTATCTAAGGCGTTTTAACAGAATGTAATTGTAGAGAACAGCAACCATATGTTACAAGCAAAATAAAAGGAACGATTCATAAAAAGGGAAAGAATCAGTAATTATAACCACTCTTCGTTTAGAACAGCGATCAAGTTCAAATAAACAGTAAATTGAGAAAATTGAACCCGTTGTTCAGTCCAATTCGTGTTCCCACATCTTTTTTTTTCGCTATGTTTCGGTCACTGCTAAGAGATAACAAAGTAAGGAAAAGCTATGCTTCATTATTCTCCTTTCTCCTTGAAATGCAAACAGTAGGATACAAATACGGGATGTTGTCATAGTCTGAATAATAAATGTCGTTAAATTTAAATTCGAATCGGCGTCGTCGTCTGTTAGCAGTGTTGGAAATGGGGGAGGAATGTTTGTGTTGAAAGAAATTCCTTGCTCTGTGAAATTTCCGTTTGAAAATAATTATGTTTTATTAGGCACCTACGTAATTTCCTAGTGATTCGGTTCTGTAAAGTGAGTGCTTTTATTTTTTATCGCGGCCCTCATTACCGATGTCACTTCACAGTGATGTGACAACTTATCACTCATGGTGAAGTGATTTCATCGTGAGTGACAATTGGCCACTTCACCTCGTTTACACCGTGAAGTGACACTCGTAATAAGGGCCCGCATGTCGATATCATCAACCGATGGATACTAACGATTTTAAATTGGCTCACTACTTGACTAGCCTATTGGTCCCAAGTACATCTATAAGCGTACCCCATTACTATATAAAACGACTATTCTATCGGTTCTTGAGTATGGCTCTTTTTGCTTCCTCTCGGCAAGAAAAAGCCACCTAATCAAATTGGAACGTATTCAATATCGTTGTTTACGTATTGCCCTTTTTTATACAGGGGGGAATCTGCTCCCAGACACCTGAGAAGATAACTCAGGGTGTGGGGATGGGAGAAGTAGCACTCCCGACCCACTAAACCTTACCCTGTGCTCTAGGCCCTTGCCCTCCCCGGAACCGCCCGAAAGCATTACGTCATGGGAGGGGGCCGGTTGCGCTATGGCGCATCACTAAGTGTTGTGTCAGACGTGACACTCGCTACTGCACAGTGAGCAGCTGTGCAGGGCCTTCCTCTTGTTGATCACTGTTAGGTTTTCGCCTGAGTTCTAGAGCAGACGTGATAGCCAGCCAACTGTCCAGGGCCAAACAGGACAGATGTGACCGCTTACCAGCTGCGTGTGCTAAGCACTCTAAGAACCCGGTGTCACTCCTGCCTTTGCACAACGAGGGTTTGTGCAGGGTTTATCAACCTCCTGGGACGAGCTGGATGGGGTTCCAGCGTCCTTACTCTGCGGTAGTTCGTTTAGCCGCAATATCTCTCCCTTAGGGTTCGATAATTAACGTTTCCAGGGCACACCACGAGGAGGCGAACTACTTCATTGCCCTTGGCTGTATGCATTCAATACACAATATGAGCCTAGAGGTTCTAGCGAGAGTAAAACCCCTGCAGAACCGTTTCTGGGAGCTCTCATTAAGAATGTTGATTAAATGTAGTGTCAGTAACAACCTTGTGATTGAAAACTTCGAAGAAATGCTCGAATTGAGCATCCAGTCTAGATTCGTGCGAATCTATCTTAATTATATGTCATCGGGTTAGCCTTCCTTGCTATAACCCCTCTCGTGTATGCTTTACTAACTACAGTTCCCCCATTGACTATGATCTCTCCATGAAACAGGCTATTCAAAGAGTTCCAGATCAACTTCGACCTATCTCTATTCCCCGCATTTTTGCTGAAAAGTACCAACAATTCAATTGGAATAGAAGATTTTTCACTGATGGATCACGCATTGATGGATCCACTGGCTTCGGCGTCTTCAATGAATACTCAACCGCCTTTCGGAAACTTCAAGAACCTTGTTCCGTTTATGTTGCTGAGCTAGCAGCAATCAACTTCGCATTGGGGATGATTTCCGATATGCCCATAGACCATTACTTCATCTTCTCGGATAGTCTCAGTTCGATTGAGGTCATTCGGTCGATGAAACAAGGTAGGCACTCATCTTATTTCCTTTCAAAGGTAAGGAAGCAGATGAGTTTGCTGGTCGAAAGATCATATATGATTACCTTTGTATGGGTCCCTTCACATTGCTCAATCCCAGGCAATGAGAAGGCAGACTCTCTCGCAAAGGTGGGCGCACAACAAGGCGAGATTTATGATAGAAGGTAAAATATCAAATTTGGGGTGAATTTGAAAGAAAGGGAACTTGGAGTGTAGAGCGCACTGCCCACTGGACGATTCTGAAGCCTGGCCAAGTGAGTGGGGTATGGGTTTATTTGATTGAACGTCATTTCCAATGTGTATATTGATACATTCAAACCATTGGCATTTGAGATAAGACAGAGATAGGATGCGGAGGGCCCGCTTAGGGGAAGCGTAACCCATGTTATGGTTTCCATTTATTAAATAGTTCAAATGACATGTTCATAGAGAGAAAATGTACCATATGGGGCCCGTTCACTGATCAAAATCAGATTCACATCGTCAGACCCTGCCCAAGAATAAGGGGATTGACGATGACTTGTCAAGTTTTATTTTGAATTTGCGTTTTGCATTTAATACTCTAGTACTTAAATCTCGCGTCCGTGCTCATTCACAACAGTGTGAGGTGTCAATACTCACTGGGTCATATGTCTTAGACCAGTTCCAGATTAGTTTGCTATTAATATCTTCTGCATCGCAGTTCGCGATAGATTCCTAAATATGGGTTCTCTTTTCCGACCATAATAGTGTGAGGGAAGGGGGTGAGTTCTGGATCAACAATGGAGGGGCGCCCATCGGCGTTTGTGGATAGACCGTCCAAGGCCCATTCCTCACAGATCGGAGGCTGCTCACGCAGACCAACACCGTCTTCGTGTAGGTGGAAGTTTCCCCTATCCGATGATGGTGTTGGTTTACGTGGGTGGCCTTCGCTTTGTGAGTGGGGGGCTTTGGAGCGGTTTGTTTACAAATGCTGATGGGCCCTTTTCTATTGTTGATCCAGAGTTAAACGTTGCGATATGAGAGCGAATAGAGGCAAATAAATAGGGAAGACAACACCATGACCCAAATAAGTAACCAATGCATGCGGCTCACACTTAACTTGTTCTATTTCTTTCTTTCTTCCTATCATGTACTAATATTAACTGCGTGAGGACAAATGGGAACACGACCAGAAGATCAATAGGAGAAAAAGAAAATTCGAACAAAAAAAGAAGAATTAAACTTGCACCGGCAAGAGGAAGCAGACAGAAAGGATCATGCCGGTTGGAGACAGCCAATGTATACTGGACGAAGCTTGTATCTGGGAAAAGTCGTATGTGCAGGAAACCGTAAGTAGGATAAGAATCGTAAAAGGTGTGTGCTTGCTTGATAAGATCCTAACTTTACTTTAAATACACGGTAGGAATCGAATATCCATTTATGATTAAGGTTTTGCCCATTTTTCAGTGGGAGTGGCAATACTCATTGATGAGTGATTTATCGTACCCATTTATTAGTAACTGTTAGCAGCTAATGATTAATTGATTTACCTATTTTAGAATTACCTATACTTCACATCAGAACCTCATTTCCTTCAATTACTACTCCGTCGCAGCACACACCTTATATGGATCGCTAACCTTTATTTAGTTTCAGCATTTTCGACATTATAATCAAAAGGTGAGTTTAAAAGTATAATTACCATGCATATAGATAAGTTAATGTACCAGAACCTGGACGGACACGAGCCTACCCAGGGGAGGACCCGGATACGACCACCCATGTGTGTCTAGAGTATCGCACGAACTGACGAGTGCAACGGGAAGGACAGTAGGTGTATAGACTAGGGGGTTGGTCCCTAGATAAGCCTTCTTAGCGGAAGGCACAGTCTATGCACTGAACAATTACAATTACAATTAGTACGTCAGAATTCTCTTTTAAGTTGGCAAAACGATTGGACAAGTAATTCTCTTGGGCGGTGGTTACATTCCATTATTCCAAATGTTTCTTCGAGAGCGTGGTTCAAAGGTCTGGATGTAAATCGGGGATTCATTCGAGTGATGTCAAGACTTATGTCCAACCACTACTCGCTAGACGCACATCTCTATAGAATAAACCTCGTTGACAGCAATATATGTAGGTGCAGAACCGGTTATGATGACATCGATCACGCAGTTTGGTATTGCCCGGGTAATGACGCCTCCAGAGCACGACTATTGGATACCCTAGTGGCCAGAGGTAGACAACCCTTCCGTGAAGTAAGAGATGTATTGAGAACACGTGATCTTCCCTACATGCAAGCGATCTACGAATTCCTTTGTTTGTCTGATGTTAGAGTTTGATGTGACCATCCCCTCCTTTCCAAACATTTTCCAGCCATTGTGTCCGAGTCTTATTATCCTCCTGTTCCTGTGCTACTTGCCCCTGCCCAGCCAGGATTTGGTCAACCGTCCGAGAGTAGTATCTGAAGGAGGCTTCAGAAACCAGTTTGCTACCTAGCTCCTTCCAATCGAAATTGTTACCCACACGGCGAATGAGAACGACCCAAATTTGAGTTCAGTTCACTCATAATCGCCAAAAGTGCAGGAACTCAGCGATGAGTAAAATTTGTCTCATGGTTTCCTGTGGAAAACCTGAAAAATCTGCCGGAAAATGAGGAATTTGACAAAAAAATTATTCAGTCTCGGAGTAGTACCAATAGACTGAGTGAATCCAATCTTTACTTTTCTCAAATTCGGGATTTTTTCCCTGGAAAAACCTGGGAAAACATGAGGCAAATTTACTCATCGCTGAGTTCCTGCACTTTTGGCGATTATGAGTGAACTAAACTCAAATTTAGGTCGTTCTCAATCGCCGTGCATTAGCCTCGAGCCCGCCACGAGTAATTGGTACCCAATACTAACCAAGAACTACTGCTATTTAAAATGTAAATTCAAACAATACTGATTTTGACTCCGCAAAGTGTCACACACGACTGAGCCTAGTAAATAAACGAACTAGTTAAAAAAAGCGTACCCCATTCTAGTCGAAATTCTAGTACTACACTATGTTTACTTTGATTCGCTATGAAAGTTTAACAGATAAAATGAGGGGTTCGTGGATTTTCCTATGTTTCGAGGGCTGTATCGATTAGCTTAGAACCGAAGATAGTACCAG